TTGTGGAAAAACTGGAACCCTTATTCACTGTTGATGGAAGTGTAAAATGGTGCAAACACTGTGGAAGGCTGTATGGTGCTGTCTCAAAAAGTTACAAATAGAAATACCCTTTGACCCAGCAATTCCACTACTGGGAATATGCCCCAAAGAAACCATAACTGACACCCAAGCCTATATATGCACACCCATTTTTATTGTGGCTTTGTTCACAATAGCAAGAAGTTGGAAACAACCTAAGTGCCCATCAACAAACGAATGGATAGAGAAGCTGTGGTATATTCACACAATGGAATACTACACTGCACTGAAAAACAAGGAACCCATGCAGTATTATTCAAAATGGGTGACCCTGGAGGACATTATGCTGAATGAAATATCTCAGTCACTCAGGGACAAATACTGCATAGTGCCACTGTTGTAAAATGGGACTGACATGGGGGTTGGGAGGAGATTGAGAAAGATGGCATAAATAATGTATACTGCATTGAAACAGATGAGGGAGAAAACTGTTTAAAAGGGATATATGATTAGGTATTTTTGTGATGACAGGAGTCCAGAATGAAGGCTGCATAGTAGAGTGGACCTGGGGGGGGTTCTGTGTAGCAATGAAAGAATGTTTCTTTTACTTCTCAAAGAGAGAGTGAACTGGGGTGGAGGGGTAGGCAGGGAGAACAGTGCAACAAAATGAATGACTGGAAATCCAAAGTCTGCAAATTTTCATTAAAATAATAATAATAATAGAAAGTGCGTATGAATGATTGGATTAAAAAACAGCATAATTTGTAAACTTTCACTTAAATTTTAAAAGCTGATAAAAAACAGAAGAGCAACAACAACAACAAAACAAATACCATTAAGAAAGACTATGGGGGGGAGGAAATCTCCAAATTAAAAATGGAATAGAAGTAAAATATTAAACTATAACGTCAAAGGAGTGGATAAATTTTTTTTCAAAAAATAGAGAAGGTGAGAAGAGAATAAATAGAGAACTGCTGGATTAAGAATAGTGTTTAATACATAGACTGAGTAAGCAGACCCAGCAAAGGGGTCGGAGAAGAAATTGTCAAAGAAATAGAACACAGTGGGTCGTGGAAGTCAAATGATAAGAGTTGCAAAGATGTGGAGAACATAGCAGAGAGTCAAAAAAGAAAATGATTCAGAAATATCACTGGATAATTGTGTGGCCATGGGAGACCTCAGTGGAGATGATTTCAGACCCTGTCTTTCACCAAATCCTCCTCTCCCCTTAAACCTGCGCGGTGAACGGCACACTAAGTTTCATATTCAGCTCGAACAGGCTGTGGTATCATCATGAGGGGGCCAGCCTGTGGGCAGAAGCTGAGAGCCTGCCTTGGGCATGGCACCATCTGCAGCACCCAGCACCACGCCTGCACACAGCAGGCACTCAGCAAAGGCTGCAGAACAAAGGGTGAGCCCAACTACTTCCTTATAATTTTGTTTTTGGCAAAGCGCTCTCTACTTGAAAGAGGTAAATGAGGACATTACTTTCTGATGCACGCCACCCTTGGTGAGTTAGGGCAGTAGGTGCCCATTGTTCTGGGGCCTGCTGTCCTCTCTCGTTAGAAAGAGCTGGGAGGTTGCAGATCAGTGGAGCTGGAAAAAGAGTTCATGGGAGGGAGACTCTTCTGATCTCCAAGCCTTTCCTGACCATCAACCTTTCACCCCGTACTTATGTGAAACCACCATACAGAGTCACATTGTGTGTATGTCTGTGAGAAATGATTTGCTTCTGGGGCATTCTGAACCCCATTAAAGTTTGCAAGCACAGTGTAGTAGAAGGGACCTGTTTTAGTTTCCTAGTGCAGCCATAACAAAATAGCACAAGTGGGTGGCTTTAAAGAACAGAAATCTATTTTTCTCACAGTTCTAGGGGATAGAAGTCTAAATTCAGGGCGCTGGCTCTAGGGGCAGGTTCTTTGTTTCTTTCAGCTTTGCTGCCAACAATCCTTGGTGTTCTTGGACTTACAGAAGCCTCTGCTTCCATCTATCATTTCTAGCTTCTTCTTCTTGTGTTTTCCTTTTTATAAGAGCCATTTTAGAAGGATTAGGTTTAGGAACCACAGTACTCTGAGAATAGAACAAAAGAAAACCCTATTTCCAAGAAGGATTACATTCACAGGTACAGAGAGGGGTCGGGATTTCAACATCTATTTTGAGGTGCATTAATTTATTCTGTAACTGAACTTTAGTAGCTCGAATCCACCCCCAGCACTCGATAGGTCAAAGATGGATGGTCTCCTCTCCTGAAGATTTACAGCCTCTCCAATGTAGGGTCGCCATTGAGTTGGGTGGGAATTGATTCAATGGCAGTGAAAAAAGCCTCAAACTTATAATAGTTGAGTTGGAGCCTATTCCTAGCTGACCCTCCAGCCGGTTTTTAGGGGCTGTAGATGACATGGGAGGAGATTGTTTCTCTTTCTTCCACTGAACACCTTTTGGGGTAACAACGATTCCAGTAGGTGGGTTTAAGTTTTTATGGACAGGGCCATCTTTCTCCGCGAAACGATGGCAATCGTTAGCATCAGGAGATCTGGGATCTAATTCTAGAAGCATGAATGCTTGGTGACTTTAGGCAAGTCACACCTACTGAGTCTGGTCCTCTGCTGTGTGAAAGAAAGGGGTTGTAATCAATAACCAGTTCCACGAGGACTTGGCTCATTCCCTAAAGTGAAAATCTGAGGAGTGTTTCTGCAGGGGTAAAGGAGTGGTGGGATAGAGCTTGAAAGGCAAGGGAACCCAGATAATTCTGTGTTTAAGCAACCCTGGAGTTCAGCATTCATATAGGGCTCCTGAGCTGTCAATCAAACAATTCCCTCGGAGTAGAGGGCGGTACCCGGTTGTCAGGTAACCTCGGGGGTTCTGAACAAAGAGCTCCTGAAGTAACCCAAGCCAGAGGGGCCATTCCAGAAAGTCAGCTGTGAGGAAGACACAGGTATGGCGTTCTGCGCCGGAGGCCTCAAGAGCAGGCGGGGTGGGGGGTAGCCAGGAATTAATTTTTGGGAAAGGGGAGCCTTAAGATGCATTTACTGAGTGTTCTTAGAATCAGAGCTAGTTTGCTGAAACAAAGAATGCATTGCTTCTATTTATGCTCCAAGCTCCACCCTCCCTCCCAACTCCCTGCTTAAAAAATGTAGGGGAAAAAACGGGAGGGGCTAAAATCCAAATCCCTGGGCTTTCAACATGTTTTCCTGCGCCCCAGGAAGAGTTCATGAAGAATTTCTGCCTTTGGAGCTGAAAAGACAATGCTAACAATATAGACATGCTGATGAGATGAATATTTGCTTGTAAGAAAGTTCTGGATAGCAGAGCAAGGTGTTGGGGCCTGAGACCAGCTGTAGACAGAATTCAGAGGAGATAGAGGAGAGAAGTTTCTTGTGAGAAGTAAATGGAGAGATAGAATTCACTGGTTTCCTACACACTCCCTGAGACTGTGATTGTGTGCTATCTTGTCAACTCTGATTCAGTATTTGCCAATAAAAGCTACGTAGAACTGCCTGAGAGGGTTTCCTAAATTGAGATCATAATGAGAGCAGATCATCAGGTCTTTTCTTCCACAGAACTGATGGTCTCAAACCTAGGTCCTTGGGCTCCTTGCCAGCTCAATAGCTTATTTATGTTTGCACTCTCAGTGCCTTGTATGGCTCCCAGTATATGGCAGTTTACCAAGTATTTGTTGAACTGACCTGGATTATAATTTGAAATTAGTAAAAGTACCGAGATTATGAGTGCCTGTGAGGGAACAGACAAATTTGAGGCTGTATGTATATGCGGATAACACAACCCTGCTTGCTGAAACTGAGGAGGACCTGAAGCGCCTGCTGCAGAGTGTCAAGGACTGCAGCCTACAATATGGATTGAGGCTCAATGTCAAGAAGACAAAGATTCTCACCACTGGACCAATTGGCAGCATCAGGATGGATGGTGAAGAGATTGAGATTGTACACAGCTTTAGTTTGCTTGGCTCCATAGTCAACAGTCTTGGCACCAGCAGCCAGGAAATTAAAAGGCGCATTGCCATGGGAAAGTCTGCTGTTAGGGACCTCTCCAAGGTGCTGAAGAGCAGTGGTGTCTCTCTGGAGACTAAGGTGCGTCTGATACAGGCCATGGTCTTCGCAATCACCTGTTATGCATCAGAGAGTTGGACAATGACCAAGGAGGATAGAAGGAGAATTGATGCCTTTGAGCTGTGGTGCTGGAGAAGAGTATTGAGAATACCATGGACTGCTAGGAAAACAAATTGATTTGTCCTGGAGAGGGTTAAACAGGGTGGCTCCTTGGAGGCAAGGATTCTGAGGCTCCGTCTAACTTACTTTGGACATGTAGTGAGGAGAGACCGGTCCTTAGAGAGGGACATCATGCTTGGGAGGGTGGAGGGACGGCGCAGGAGAGGAAGGCCCTCTATGAGGTGGATTGATTCAGTGACTGGGATAATTGGGATGGGAGTGTCAGAGACAGTGCGATTGGCACAGGACAGAGCGGAGTTTAGGGCTGTTGTACATAGGGTCGCTATGAGTCGCAGGCGACTCGACGGCACATAACAACAACAACATGTATATTCTGTTCATTTGATCCGTTCATCTGTTCATTCAATAAACATGTACAGAGGACCCACTATGAGTCAGACATTTCAAGTTGCCCAGAATTTAGTGAGAGAGACAGACAAGATGTCAACAATTCCAGTGTGGTAAATGCCATAAAAGATATAAACCACAGTATGGGAGTTTAGTAGGGGAGCACAAAAGAAGGGCTCAGTTGGGAGAAAAGCAGTTTGTAAAGGAACCTATTATATAAGCAGAATTTTGCAGAACTAAGGTAGGGCTTTAGAGAGTAGATATAGTACCCAACAGGACAGTAGAGAAATGAGACAGAAGCGAGAGCCACACTGGGACAGTGATAGAGCTGAATTCCTCTTAAGATATCCTGCCTTGGGGACAGTTAAGGCTGACTTACTGATCCTTCTGTTCTCTACTGTCAGTCCTATGTCTTCCTCCACTCTTGAGAGCACTTCTCAAGAGCCTGGGCCTGAGCCCTCAAGCTGCAAGAAGAAGAAGAAGAGAAAGTGGCTGCAGCAAGAGACCAGCATCCAGGCCCTCACCAGGGCTGGCCATCGTGCTCTGCAGGCAGGCCAGCACCAAGAGGCATTGGCCAATTTCCAGAGGGCCTTCCTCCTGGCCTCTGAGGCCCCGCGAGGCAGAGACACTCCTGTTCTCCGGGCCTGTGCCTTCAATCTGGGGGCTGCCTACGTGGAGACTGGGGATCCAGCCAGAGGTCTTGAACTGCTCCTGCGAGCCCAACCTGAAGAGGAGGCCCAGGGCGGGTGCCATGGTGACCAGTGCTTCAATGTGGCTCTAGCCTACCATGCACTGGGTGACTTGCCTCAGGCTTTGATCTGGTACCACAAGGCCTTGGGCCACTACCAACCACAGGGTGACCAGGGAGAAGCCCAGGCAAAAATGGGAGCCTGCTACCAAGCTCTGGGACAGTCTGAGCTGGCAGTCCCCTGCCTGAAGGAAGCAGGTCGGGCCTACGCCCAGGCAGGGCAACACCGAGCCGCTGCCCTGGCGATGGGGGCTGCGGCAGGGTGTATGCTGAAGAGCAGGCAGCATGGGGTGGGTGAGGTGGTGCAGGTGCTGGAGGAGAGCCGGAGGCTTGCTGAGAGGAGCACTGAGCAGGGCTTGCTGGGTAAGAATTTGGGCAGAGGAGGTGTGGGATGAGGGGAGACAAAGCCTGGAGATACTCCATGGGAAGGGTAAAAGCAGGGCATTAGGGCTGGGGCAAGGACTGCATGGGGGTAGGAGGATGCTGAGAGAGTGGGACAGAGGATGCATTACTATCCTACCAGTGACCCTGGCTATGTCCTCTAGGACAACTATATAATGACCTAGGACTGGGCTACTCCCAGCTCCAGCTGTTCCCACTGGCAGTGGAAGCTTTCCTGCAGGCCCTGCCCCTGTGCCAGGAGCCAGGAGAAGAGGCCACAGTGCTGAGAAATCTCGGAATGGCCCACAATGCCCTTGGCAACTATCAGGAAGCACGGGAGTTTCACCAGAAGGCTGCTGACCTGCATGGTAGGTGCCAGGGACTGAGGAATCGGATTATGATCTAGAAACAAAGTGGTTAGAGGTTCCGAGGCTGCAGGGTGGATGGATGAACCATTGGGACCAGGAATCATTGGGCTTGGAAGCTCAAAACCAAGGACTCAAGGGCGGGGGGTACAGAAGATAGGCAGCAGTTGTGAACCCACAGGCTAAGGCCGAGGGTTTGAGAAGGCAGCAGGAGATAGAGGAAAAATCCTGGCTAAGAGAGGTGGCCAAAAATGGGGTCCCAGCCTCCCTCCACTGTTCTTGTAGTATTCAGGAGTCAAAACAGGGCCATTAGTACCATTTTTGCCCACCCCTGGGAGAATGTGGTGGGGAAGAGATTTCAGATCAAAACTCAGGACTAAGGAGGGGTCAGGTACCAAGACTTCATGCCTCTGAGGTCCATCTGGAGGTGTGCTGGGGATAGACACCAGGGCACTTGGGAACCCCTGACTTTGGGTGAGGTGGACTTTGTCATTAGGCTCTGTGGGACAGCGGTGGGAGCAGGGCCGGAGCTTTGGCAGTCTGGCATTTGCACTGAGTCAGCTGGGGGACCACAAGGCAGCAAGAGACAACTACCTTCATGCCTTGCAGGCTGCCCGGGACACTGGTAAGAGTGAGGGGTTAGCAAAGAATGGTGGGTAAGTAGCTAGGAGATCCTGGGGATGGGGAGACCTCTGGAGGGGTGGGTCAGTGGTATATGGTTCATGAGAACTCCTCAGGCTCTCCCTCCCCAGGGGATGTGAAGGGACAGTGGCAAGCCTGTGAGGGTCTAGGGGCTGCTACAGCCAGATTGGGGCAGTATGATCAGTCCTTGAAGCATTATAAAGAAGCACTGGTCCAGTGCCAGGTGAGCCCACCTGCCACCTTCCCTGCCATCCCTCCTCCAGGAAGCCTCCTCTGGCTGCCCTCCTTGTCCTCCCCATTCCTTTACTCATCAAGCATGCATTGTGTCCAGTGGGGATGTGATTGTGAAGAAGATTCTGTTTCTGTGTACAATTCTGAACTGGGCGTGGGAGGCCCTGGGAGGGAGTAGATGTAAATTGAGACAAGGTCCTCTTCCCTCCTCCCTTCCCTTTCCTGTTTCTTTCCTTCCCAATTCCCAGAGGACCACCAAGTCCAGACCTTCCCCATGACCCCATTATCCACCCTCCCTCCAGAAGGAGCCGGATTCTGTGAGACAGCGCCTGGTGGCTAAGCTGTCAGATGCCATGAGGATCCATTTGGCCCAGGGAGGGCTTGTCCCGACACACACCCTGGTGAGATGACACCTGAGACAGGGAGCGAGGAGCGGGGAGAGGGTACCTAGAGAATCAGGGGCGGGATCAGCCGACCTGATGTCTTCAGGGATGTGCTTGGCTACTCATCTGTGCGCCTCTGCAGCAGGGTCTGACTAAGGGATGGGGATGTATCACTTTCCTGGGGACGTGGGCCGGGGATCACAGCGTGTTTCCAACACAAGGGCTCTGCTAGGACTTTGGATGAGTAAGTAGCCAATTCTTTGCGTGAAGAGTACTGAGCTATTTAAGGAGGTGGAAAATTTTGTATTTGGTTGCAGTTCCCTAAAGGCCCACAGGGTGGAGATAGTGCTCCAAAGAAGTCTCTTCCCTCAGGTCTCGGTCTCCAAGAGACTAGAGGGCATTTTTTGTGGGTGGATTTCCTTCTGTCCTCTGGCTCCTTGCTTTCTGGGCTCTGCCCTACTTTCTTCTCTTCCTCCCACTTTCTCTCAACAGGCTGATTGATGTCTGAACCGCCTCCTCCCTCACACTATGAGACCTTCCCGCACCCACAAAGGAAATAAAATTATACTTTAATATTTATTTGATAGGGTTTATGTCCTCTCTTATTTTAAGGAATAGGACAGTGTAGCTACCCTGCAAGCAAAATTAGATTAGCCTGGTACTTGCAGAGGATCAGGTTGGGAGGCAGAAGACTTAGAGGCCGTCACAGATCTGCCACAAGTTTTCTGGGAAAATTTGTCCCTTTTGTCCCTTAAAATCTGTGGCTGTTGAGGGGAGAGGTCAGGCGCTGGCAGATCTGATAGTCCAATGAATCTGCGCTCTGTCGTGTGAATAATCAGTGGAGACCATAAGAAAGAAATTTT